GTATGTCCCTGATCTAATGCCTCCGTCCATTCATCTAAGACTCTGAGTAGTTGTAGTGCGGTTGACCTCTCTCCCATGAAACCATACTGCCTTGTTGTAAATAGATCATTCCTTGTGAAGTGTTCAGTGATCTGATCCCGCATTACCTTTTCCATTGTTTTACACACGACTGATGTGAGGCTCACAGGTCTATAATTTCCTGCTAAGGACTTGTTCCCTTTCTTGTAAATAGCACTTATTCTGGCTTTTTTCCACTCCATTGGAACCCTTCTTTCCTCCAATGATCTATTGAATATCATAGTTAGTGGTACCGACAGCTCCTCATGTAGTTCCTTCAAAAACCTTGGATGAAAATTGTCTAATCCTGGAGATTTGTCCACCTTAAGTTCTCTGAGTATTTTCTTAACAGTTTCTTCCTTTATGTAACGTTGTTCCCATTGAATTTGGATGTTTCTGGCTTTAAGTTGTGGTACTTCACCATCCGGTTCTTTGGTAAAAACACTACTAAAAAGTCCGCTAAAATGTTAGCTTTTGTTTCATCATCATCCGTTTTTTCTGATTTCGGATCTCTAGGGTCGGTGCATAAATCTGCAATCCCTTGTCTGCTTTTACTCTTTGAGTTGATATACTGCCATATTCTCTTTGAGTTACTCTTTGCTTCCTTTGCTAGATTTTTTTCGTATTTCTTCCTAGCCTTCCTTACTAGTTTCCCTGCTTTGTTTCGAGTACGATTGTAGTTTCTTCTAACATCTGGATCTTTGTGTACCAGGTACTTGCGTGCCAAGGCATTCTTCTCTTTAATGACATTTAGAGTTTCTTTATCCAAGGGAATTTGCTGGTTTTTCTTCCTTCCAATTTCATAAGTAGGTACATACTTATTCTCTAGATCCTCCATCTTTCCACGGAATTTTGTCCATATTTCATCTATGTTTTCAGAGCCATTCCCCAAAATATGCCTCCAATTTGTCTGCTTAATTTCATCCTTTGGTCCTACATAGTCAGCTTTGCTGTAACTTTTTCTCTTCTTCTTTGTTTTCTTGACATCCACTCTGCACACATAGCTGAATATGATGACACAGTGGTCACTTTTCCCGAGAGGACTTTGTAGTTCCATATCTACTACTGTGTCCGGGTCCTTGGTTATTATCAGGTCTAGCACATTTGGTGTATTAGTTCCCCTCCATCTCGTTGGTTTATTTACCATTTGGAATAAAAAGTTATCCTGTAAGCACTCAAGGAACTTCTGCTCTTCTGAATGAATGTTTGATGATGTCATCATCTCCCAATTAATTCCAGGGTAGTTAAAATCTCCCATCAGTAAATGGTGGGTAAAGTTTAGCTTTGATACTTCACTGATCAAGTTCCTTAAAGTTCTACCGGTTTCTTCCGAACTATCTGATGGTGATCTGTATATCACTCCAATAAGCATGGTCTCATTTCTAATAGTACGCAATTTCACGAACAGGTGCTCACAAAATCTGCTATCAACTTTTATTTCCTCCGCCTTGAGTGATTCATGCACATAGAGTATAATTCCTCTACCAATATCCCCTTCTAGGTTTGTGTGGAACATATTGTATTCCTGTGACCATTCCATGTTGAATTCGGAGGGATTTAGTAGATAAGAAGCATTCTTCGCCTTTACTTCGGTAATCCCTATTACCATCGGTTTTACATCTCTAATTCTGATTTGAAATTCATTGAATTTGTTTCTGAACTGATCGGCGTTTGTATAAAAGCAAGTTAGTCTATTCACAAACTTAAAACTATTTACACTATCTTCACTGTTCTTCTTTATATCTACTCTCCTTCTACCCGAACTTTTACCACTCTGCGCGCCCAGGGTGGTCCTCGTACTCGGAAGGTGAATTCCCCCGAATGTGTCCCTTGTAGTTCTTTAGCCCTTTCATACAGTTTCTTCTCATTTTCCCTTTCAGCTCTTGTCAAGTCATTTGCAATTCTCACCTTGGCAAACTCCAAGTGATCCTTCAAGAATTTTGCACCTTTAAAAAGTTCCACCTTCTTTTTTGTTGTTGTAAGGGTAACAAGCATTGGGCGACTTGCCTTATCCTTTTTGAATTTCCCTAAACGTACCACTTTACTGATGTCGGAATTGTCAATATTTGTTTTGCATACCTTTCCTATAGCTTGCAACTTCTCGTAGTCAAAGTTCCGTCGTGTCTCACTAGATTCTGACTCACACTGCTCAATTCCATATACCACCATGTTATTTTCCCGACTTTTCCTCTCATTTATTTCCTGCAGGACTGCTGTAACATTTTCTTTAGGCTGTACCTCATCATTATTCGATGTGATTTCAGAATTTCCAGACGCTACTTTATTATTTAGTTCATCCTTGACGATTGCACGGACATCATTTTCACTGCATTTGTTTTGCACTTCCTTTTCAAGTTTATCAATCCTTGACTCAAATATTTTCATTATTTCATTGCACCTATCCTCTATCTCTCTCTCCACCACTATGTTCTTTTCGACTTTTTCTCTGCATGTACCACAAAACCACATGACATCACTTTTTGACATAATGTTATATTCCTCAACTGATTTTTTCAGACATTTTATGCAGAAATGATTGGTACATCGTTGACACTCAAGGAGCTTGTCTTCGTCCGACATGAATTCGTTTTTACATAAGTTACAGCACCAAACTTCTTCATTGTCTTATGCTAGTACACAATGAGATTTCTTGGGCGACATACACCTTTACAGAATAAACTGAAACCCATAAACATTTAATCCCCAAATTATCAAAATACTAATCTAACATTCTGGCAGTAAATAACATATACAGCGAAGTTTTGTTTCACTGCATTTATGCACAATGTACTGATCTATGCTGAAAGTGAAAACGGTTGGAAATCGTAAACAAACCTGCAGTGCATGCCAATCCGGGAGTTCGAGCAGTTGTCAAGACAAGAATCTCCTTAAATCTAGATGAGGTTTCAAAAAATTACCACAGGTTGCAAACTTCGTCAAAATAGCGATGCAGACCCGCTCCACTTGATTTGAAATGATTGGCTATTCAACCGAATACACAGTGCCATATTTGGGTTACTTATCAGAGTAGATCGTTCGTTTTACATTCGAGAAGAGTTGACATATTATTTGAATGAAGAGGATAACATAATACTGAGCTGAAAATTGTGTGTAAAGTATGTTTTAATAGTTTACAATACAGACTGTAAATGTGTGGGAGATTTTATAGATATTGAAGCTTGTAAACAAAACCAATAAACGTAGGACTTATTCACGGCAATGTATGAATGCGGGTGGTTTCGCTCCGATTACGTGTTCGCGCCGAGTGGTTTCGCGCCGATCACTTGTTCGCTCCGAGTGGATTCGCCCCAATTGATTTCTACTGTATAACTGAAAATACCGCTTATCGAATTAGTCATTTGATTAATATGTATATTGAAATATTATTTTTAAAAAAGTGGTAATTGCAATGAAATGGGAAGTCTAATAAAGAATAATCGCCATGCAGAAGAATCCTACATAATTAAATATTGTAAATCAAATGAAAAACAATGACAACCTTCATTGAAAAGTCAATGAGATTTGTGAAATAAATATTTATTTTAACTTCCAGTCTTAATTATTCCAAATTAGACGATCAAATTTGTTCAAAGAAACGGCTAAACACTCCACTTTCAGCATTAAAATTGGATAATTATGCGACACACGACATTAACGCTTGGGGTTAATTAATTACAAGGCAATAAGTTATATAATTACAGGTAATCGGGGGGAAGCCATACTGTATACTACCAATATCTTCAGTACCTGTTGATAAACGGGGCGAAACCACTCGGCGCGATACCACTCGGTGCGAACACGTAATCGGCGCGAAACCACCCTACACCCAATGGATGGGAACCCATTCTCTATCTAGACTGGTACCCTGACATTGGTTCACGGGCGCAAGCGCCCTAAAAATTCCTAGCGGCAGCGACTGGAATCAAGGGCAGAGAACCAGTGCTATTCTCTATCCAGAGTTGTCGTTCCCGCTACGCTCTAGTCTCGTTTTCCCCAGACTCTCGCTCTCGAGACTTGGCCCGAGCCAAGTCTCGAGAGCGAGAGTCTGGGGAAAACGAGACTAGCTACGCTCCCACATACACCTCTGTCAACGCTTGTTTTACAAGATTTGTGGAAAAATTGTAAATGATTAAAAATTGTATTGATAGTCTTTTATAATTATATTTCTTATCGGAAAACAATATTTATTTTAATTTGTTACACCTTATAAGGATTTTTTAATTAAGATTTTAATTTTTACTCCGCAAAATAGTTCCCTTAAAACTTTGAAAATAAGTCGTTTTGAGGGAATATAGGTTTGAAATAAATGATGAATTATCATCTTTATCAATAATTACAACAATTAATTACTATTTTAACTTCAAATTTCCACCGTTTAACATTTGTACAAGAATCTTGTACAACGAGCGTTGACAGAGGTGTTGTGGTTACAGACTACTAATTTTACCCCTATTTCATTGACCACTCAAGTAGTTCCAGTTTAAAAATAGAGGTTTTTTCTTAAAAATTCTTTGGGGTGTTTATGGGGTGGACTGATGTTATTTTTGGGTATAGATGGAAAGGAGAGGGTTTGAAAAAAAATATAAAATTGTTAATATGTGAAATTTTGCACTTGCGCGCGTAGTAGGAAGGGTGTAAAGAGGCCCATATTTACCCTTTCCCCGAAGAGAAAGTGAAAAAAGCAGGGTAGGGGTTATATGCGATGCCTTAGCAGGAACTGCATGCGATGAATTTTCCTGAGAGTCTGAAAAATTTTTGGACTTGAATTCTTCTTACTCTGTGCCAAGTTTCAGGTAAGTTGAGCTGGTGTAATTTTTTTAATCATTTTTTATAGTATAAAGGAATGTATAGCAAAATAATTGGTAGTCTGTGTCCTTGTGAGCGCAGCGGAAGACAACTCTGGTTAGAGAATGTATGGGAACCAGAACAGGGAACCAGTCTAGAAGGCAAAGAAAATTCCGCCAAGTATTGAAGTAAACAACAAAGAAAGGGATTTGGGATGTTGTCAGTTGTATGTATACATTATGTGCGACGGTGACTGCAAGTTAATACATGTGTCTTATTTGTCGCGAATAATTCGTTTCATTTTATTCCGAAATTTATCCGTCCCAACACTGGCAGAAATATAATTAATCTGACTTCAAAATTCCTTCCTCTGTTCCCCCAAGTACATGTAACACTCTTCGCTCTCATTTTTAAAAAAATTTCATTGTATATTTTTTGTAGAAAAAAGGAATGTAGAGCTAATGCATGCTGCTAAGGATGGAAAGGTCTTGTGTTTATTGGTTGTGCCTGAGTCACCAGTCACAGTTGTACCTTATTTCCATTTTAGGTATTGTCTTTTGAGTTTTTTTAAGTAGAGGGAACAATGCATTTTTCATTCAATATAAATGTAAAATTCTAGAGATAACTTTTTTTCACCATTGCTGGATACTCACTACATGATTTTATCTAAAGAAAAGTATTTAAATTATTTTCTCACATTTTTTAAAGAGGCCGGGTATGGTGAAGAGATAATTCATTTTTTATTCAAAATTTTATTTTCCATGCATTTGTACAGGGAGTCTATATACATTTGAGATGAGCGGCAGATTTAATTTTGAAGAAGGGTGACTTTCAGATGTTGTGATGAAGATTGTTGAAAGGGATTATCAGCATAGAACCAATCCATATGAATGTGCAAGTCAGGTGAGGATTAGGCCTAAAAAAATTATGTTTGTTTCCTGTAACCCGACCGACCCATTCAAATTATCCCTGGGTGGATTTTTTTCCCTGACAAATATCAAAACTTTGTTTGATCAATCAGCTGATTCCATTTATTAAATTAAAACAATAGCTTGTAGTTTAATTTGATATTTATATATTGCATAGCTTAGTGAAAGCACGGCACAAACATTTTAAGTATCTCAGTAAGTTTCATGGATATTACAGATGTATCACTATCATATGTTTGACATTGAGTCGCAATGTCTAAATTTCCATTATGTTTAGTTATACATGTTTTAAGTTACTTAAGTATGTCTTCAAAAGCTTGTGCTTTAATTTCAATAGAAGTAATGAAAACCTCTTTAAAAATTGTATTGTTTTTCTTTATAATTTTGAAAATGATTATTATTAGGACTTGTACAACACCTGAGTACCTAGATGACGTTGAACTAATTTGTGAGCAAGAAAAGATGTCAGAGAGGGGAATCCAATACAGATGTCATGATCAAGAATATATACTCTTAACAATGATATGATCAAGAATATGTAAACTTGTAACGATTTAAAATATCTTATCTGTAAATCACTCTTCATTACTTAATTGTTCACACATTATCATCTACACTTATGCTATAAATTTTATCTGTATATTAATCGCCCCCTCTTATCTAACCCCCCTGCTGATCGTAATGACCTGTGTATTGACTCCTGATCTTAAGGATCTTGTAATGTGCTCCTGATCATCAGGAACGGATCTTGAGTATATATATAGTTCGACAGAATTTTAGAATAAGATAGGAAGATGGAACTATAGAAGACTTAGTAGATAGAACTGTTACAGATAGATAAAGTTACTCACTTACTTGGATTATTACATAATATTTCTTGGATTTATATGTACATGTGATTGTTTTACTTGAATTTATTTTTTGTGAATTATTTTTCCTGAATGTTTCTATCTATGATGTGTTGTGTAAGTAAACTGTAGACTAGAATTTCGGCATCTATTTTCAAGATATGAGGAACAAGGATAAATTAATTTATTCATGCAAACTGACATTATGAAATGTGTTGTAAGACAGCTCGGTGCGGCGCTACAAACTAACTAGGAAATATCTTGGAGATTTATAGATGAACATGCAAGCATTCGTGATTTTGAATATTATTCAGCCAGAGAGTTTTTGCACAAATTTAATTTTCAGTACAGTAATTTAAACTGGATGTGTAATTTTCAGTACAGTTATGTAAAATGAATACGTTACTTATTATGATTGTCAATTTCTCAACAGGACATAATTGTAGTTTATTTATACGATCACTCTTGCAGAACAAAACACACAGAACTTTTTTTTCTCTGTGTGCATCATACACTTGTAAATGTTTTACACCACCATGTTTACATATTTTACATTGATGACATGTAAATCGAGCACACACATGAAAATTCGTATATCTTGATACATGCATCTACCATAAACTATTACATATTTTCCAAGGTGTGTGAAGTCGAGCACATACATGAAAATGTGTGAAGCTGGACACATACACAAATACACATGCATCTGCCACAACCTATTACATATTTTCCAAGGCGTGTGAAGTCGAGCACATACATGAAAATGTGTGAAGCTGGACACATACACAAATACACATGCATCTGCCACAACCTATTACAAATTTTCCAAGGCGTGTGAAGTCGAGCACATACATGAAAATGTGTGAAGCTGGACACATATGCAAACACACTAACATATACCACAGACATAAAAATATAATCTAAACTAAGTCAAGCACAGACAGGCTCACTGGCCGGTGAAGCCGGATTCATACATGATCTCATGCATTTTGCAAACTGCATCCTCACATATATTCTAATAGATTTTTCACAATTTGTTTGTGTTTGTGAATATGTAAAATGCATCATTTTGCATTACAAGTTGAAGATGTTATTAGCCTGTATGTAAGCGCAAATTAAATAGCCTTTTATGTATTTTTTTCACATTTTTAATTCAATTTAAACTGCAAAGTTTATTTCATATATGTACATGCACCATAAAGAATAAATAATATTGTACCGGTATTATATTTTAAAGTGAAATGGGACCTCCATTTCATAAGCAGAAATGTGAAATTTATACTTATCATCTGTATTTTTTTTATTTTGTCTTACATGTATCTGAATGTGTAAAGGAAAACAAAAGTCAAAGAAAGCTCAATATAATGTTTATATTCAAGGTTATAACTGGATATTGTTTGTGCTGTATATCTGACTCATCATATGATGAGAAGCCAAAATACAGATTATTTTAGATCATTTTTGTTTGGAAAATGAAAATTATCAATATGCCAATTTTTCCCATTGTTATATTATTACTTAATATATCATTAATATCAATGTACATATGAAAAATCTATGCCATCCAATCCAGTGAGTTGTAGGCAATCCTGGTGCAGATAATATTTTTTTCCCGTGTTTCGTAGTAGAGCGGGAGCACATTGTATGAAAGGAACGTATATTAATGGTTTTGGTTGTATATGTGGGCGTGGCCAAAGGAAGGCCAATGAGAAATAGTATTCAGTAAGGTGTTCAAATATTCATTAAGGTGTTCAAATCATTCTAAGCCAGTGCTCTTCAATACACACACATTTATTTTTGCTTTATATATAATATATATATATCATATTTGTATAAATATACTGGTAATGGAAATAACAAAACTGTTGAAATGTACCAGGTATTTTAATTTGGATTTTTTCATACATGCAAATATTATGGGGTGTTCGTGCATTTTTAACTATTGCATTGAATGCACGTCCGGCATTCTGCCTTGAGACATTATTTACATAGCGACGGACACAGGTTTTCCATAGTTAACCATCTATGGTTTTTGCCTGGGCGGTTTTTAATGTCTGTGATAGGGGTATAATTTATTACAGGTAAAATATTTTACAAATGCATTCCAGTGCTTTATTGTTTCACATTCAATGTAATGTATGTTAGAAATGTATCAAAATAAACGCCAGCTGCTCCAACTAAGCTAACCTGGCTTACAGCATAGTTGTTGTATTATTTGAGGTGTAGTCTGTCAAATAATGATGAGTCAAGTGTTTGATTCTGTAGATGACCATTTCTAATACTAATTTCAACTGGAAATGGATACAAGATAATAAAAAAAATATCTTTGACATTTGTCTTTAAATTCTGGGTACTGACTAGATTAGATTCTTTAAACTAACTGTGAAAATCCAAAGTATAAGTGTATTAAACAAATAGTCAGCATTTAAATAAGACTTTTATAAAATATTTATATTCAATGAACTTTAATATGGCATTAAAGGTGAAAGGTTATATTTAATTATCTTTTCCTGTAAGTAAAGGTTACCTTTTCACCTTTACTTTTTGTAAAGTTAATACAAAGGTGACCTTGCTTTTTGGAGCACCTTTAATGAAATTTACTTTGCAAGTAAAGTTTTGTAAAGGTGTTTTTTCAAGCAGTGTTAATATCTGTAGTTATAGACATTCTGCACGTCTTGTTTCCACATCTTCTTTAACCCTTTGTGGATTCATGTCAAACCTTTTACATCATGTACATGGGTGACCAAATATCAAACTACAACGTAAAATGCATAGGAATGAAAAAAATCTGTAACAAAATGATGAGAATGATTCATTTTGAAAATCATATTCCCTGACTCTCTTAGAAAATATTACTTTGTAATTATTTGACAACCTTTGATTCAGGGCTCATCAAAGATGAGCTTAGAATTAGAACACAACAGAAAGTGATTATTGTAAAATCAACCAAGTTAAATGCACTGTCAAATTGGTTTTTAAAATAATCCTAGTAAGAATTACATAGGGATAAACAATAATACATATTCAAATCTAGTTAATATCTTTAAAAGTACATTAAATATGTGCATGCATTATATATTTAGCAACATAGAAAATTCTATAGTTATTGCAATTTTTTGTCTTTCATGCATACTTAATCATAATTTTCTTCAGTGTTGAAAATTGGAATTCATTTTTGATATATGATTTTCTTTACTTCTTTCTTAATCTGTTGAGCAGCAAATAAATTGTCATTTGAATCTGTACACAGTCCCCAGGGTGAGGTCAGGCCACAGTCTATGTAACGGAGGAACTGCCAATCATGATCTATAATGTGAACACATTCATTGTCCCAATCAGCTGTAAGGATGTGACTCTGACTGTTGTGGTGATTCCTCGTGGATAGAATGGTTTGTTCTTTGGAGCAGGTGTATGTCCTGTGTATCTGAATCTCAGTTTCCCGACCTGACTGACCACCACTACTGCTTTAGCTCCACTGTCAGACACACAAATATCCAGGTTCCTATTCTCAATTATGTATCTGATAACACCACCAGATGAATAGAGAGGTTTACCCTTATCATCAAACTGAATGGTTTGTTTCACTATGGAGCCAGAGTAACGGAAAACTTTTGTTTGTTTGTTATCATCCATGGATCATCACTGTCCATGATAACCAGGAGGTCACCAGAGCAGGTACTGCAGACACCGCGAGGTCTCCAGTTCTGTAGTCTGATCACCTCTTCTATCTTCTCATTCTTCACAATGTTCACAGTTCTGTTAATGGTATCAGTATAAATAAGATTTCCACTTTTTGTCACTGCTATGTCTTCTGGTGTGTTCCCTGACTTATTTGCGATGGACTTGATTAGTGATCCCTGATTTATAATGTAGAGTTTCATGATTTTGTCACCTTCACCTGTCCAAATTTCTTCATGACTCAGACAGACCACATTGAAAAGCTGAAGAAAAAAACTAATCCTCAATATCTACTTTGATGGTGACGATAGACTTTGGTTCATCAAGTAGCTGTTTGACTAGAGGAGAGGATCCAGCTTCTTGTGATTTCAAACTAAGTTTTTCTTCATACTCTTCTATCAACTGGAGAAAAAATACGGAAAAACTCAGAAATATTTTTAAAAATTAATGCATCATCGATTGAGTTTATTTCATCTTGGATGTCTGAAATTTTCTGCTTTATTTTATCAAAATGTTTCTGTAGAGTTACTAACTCTTTGATTTTTATTTCTTCAATTTTGGATTTAAGTTTATCGACTAGTTCATTAACTTCTCTGTGCCAAAGTTCTCCTTGTTTCGTTATGACTTTTGAAAGTTTTTCATATTCCTTTTGTAAGAGACTTAACTTCCTTTCTAATTAGCTTGCAATACCCTGGTAAGTTGGGTAGATTGTTTCATTTAATTCTGTACGTTCCTGTTTATTTTTTTCTTTTCTTTTATCCAGAATTTGTGGCCTAGATGATGATCTGATGCAATGCATGTTTTGCAGACTGGAATGTCACATTGTTTAAAGTACATTTCACATGTTTTCAAATAATGTGACGCGCATTTAGGGTAAAATAAATGCGATTTCTTAACCTTGAAATCAA